ATTTAATCCTGCTAGTGAATAAATGTTTATCGTTAGTAAACATAACACACAATGGAAAAACTAAAACTGAAAATACCTGGCACTTTATGAACAGCCTGGAATTAATCATATTCAGCAAATTCAGTAAATTATTAGTATTAAATTATTTATTCAATTAAGATTAATTTAGAATCTCAGCATTGAAATGTCCCAGTTTGTTGAAGGAATGCAGTATGGCAAGCCATTTTACCATAAAAAATTAACAAGATTTTTAAAGTAGTTGATAACACAGTAATCCTCCAATTGAAAATGAATATTTATTGTCCAGAAATGCCGCTTGTTTTATCCACAGTCAACAATTCAGTTATCTCAAGCATCAACATTTCTAGTACATCSCTTTTTCCATTCATGCAGACGCAGAGAACCACAATGTTCATTCTTCTTCTGAAGAATGAACATTGTGAACATATAAAACAAAATTATTACAGGCCAAACTGTAAGATCAGATATCTTCAGTCCCATTTAGAAACTTCAGTCATGACCTAAACTGGTCTGCTCATATCTTTGTGGGTGTAAAATGTTTGTGAAACTTTTCACACAGCAGAGCAAATTTACAAAAATATCAAAACATTATCGGATTCTAAACATATGCGGCACTTATAAAATCATTTTTTWAAACTTATTTATTCGTTTACATGCTGGATTTGCTCTTGCATCCATTTGGGAGTGCTACAGCACCCTCTACACCCGTACTTCCCACAGTCTAGTAGACATTAGGTGTTCGAACAACTGCTTAAAGCAATGTACAATGTCTTAAGCTTTTTGTTTTAACAAAATCCCATCTTGTCAAGATCTGAAAAGGTTATTTTTACTTGTGGAATTACTATTTGATGCTTCTAATTTCAATCCATAGAGGCAAAAACTACTTAGGTTAGAAGAATTATTATCCATGGATAAGAACAGGAGTAGATTTTGTGTTATTGTAGCTGGGCCGTGTGCTATTGGCCTGCTGGGTTATAAATGATGCAGACCCTCGTTTATCATGRGGGAACTTGTTTTTTCTTTGACACTAAAAAAAAAAAAAAGTGCACGTGGGTCTCTTTCATTAATACCTCATTTCCATGCAAACTCCCCAGACCCTGAAGTGGACTGTGGTCCAGACCCTGAAGTGGACTGTGGTCTCCATGGTTATGCAGAAAGCCTCATTCACAGACCAAATGAAACAAGAGGACTCTCAATGAGAAAGTGAGGAACATTTGCTGAGAAAGATAAGATTAATCAAGTTCAACTTAGAGATTGTGATGAACAAAAATAAAGATTTCATTCTTGGGCTCTCAACTTTTCCCTTATTGTGCGATATAATGCATTCAAAAGCAACGTAGCTCATTCTCAGAGTTCAGGCATGGTGTTCCTCACTGACCCAGGGTCCTTCTTTTTTTCATCTCACAAAGGAGACATTTTTCATTGAAGGAGGATTACTAAAGTCCCTCCCTTGCACTATTTCCTGAAATCCTCCAACAAAGTGAAACCCTGAGCATCAGAGGGGTGGTGGTTAAAAAAAATCCTGCAAGAGTTGTGTACAAGCCCTGCATGCCTGGTATTGTCGATCCTGTCAGCTGAAAGAAAAGAGGCGTATCAGTGAACTTTGCCTCCAGGCAAGCAGTGATATAATAAACTGGGAAGTGCAGATGGATCATTTTAGGAATCTTGTGTTTACCGCAAAGCCACATTTTTAATCTTTATCGGCTGCAGGATGTGAAGGGAATCTCTGGATTAGTCACAACTCTGGAGGGAACTCCAGGTTACCTTGACCGCATTCATTCGAGGTTAAACCAACCCACTCTGTGGTCAGATGATTTGCTCTACCTTTGCTGCCACTCAAAAGACAAGAACTCTGTGGCCTTCGAGGGTTTTTAAGCATCAAAATAGACAGCTGCTTGTTGTGTTGCACACCTTCAACTCAAAACGAGCCAAAGGTGCAGCATTTCATCCCACACGTGTCTCCGCAAAACTGAAAGTGTTTTTCCAACGTATTCCTGTGGCTGTGCAAAGAGAAAATTCCCAGGAAAACCAAACAACTCTAACACCTAAAGGCTTGGTCTGTTTACAATAACACGGACTAAAGTTTCCAGAGGAAAAGCTGCAAAACTCCCCGTTTAACCTATTAACCACAATGAAAAAAGGCCASTCCTAAACAGAAGAGGCCGTAAACAGACCCAGCTTGCAGCTCTCCCTTATTCACTCCMTTTTCTATTCCTTGTGAGAAAATTCATGAGGGAGAAGAGGCCAATAAATAAGATGCAAACAGCTCGCGGTGATGCACGTTTACTGATGCGATACATGTGCATCATATTTGCGTCTGAGTTTTTTGGACAAGCGGTGGCTCGCTCTGTCGTAACAATATGCTCCTTCATCTTCGTTGGTGGCCCCCCCCCCACCCACTCCCCTCCCCCAGGAAAGAAACCAAGCCTTTGTGCGTTTGCCAGCATTTGAGCCTGGATCTTACAGTGGAGCTGTGCAAACCAGTCTGCTCAGGCTCTGAATGAACTTCTGGTGATGATGAGAGGAGGAGGGAAAAAMACATTTTTCTTCCTTTTTTTTTCTTTCTTTTCTTGTTCAGTGAAAGATAACAGGAAYTATGTAGAAAAGACTGAGTTAAATGTCTGTCCATCCTTAAGAATGCATTTATCCTACTACATTTCGTATCAGAGTTTTAGACTTTTAAACCAATTTTATGTCCATATTTTATGCACGATGTCATGACTATGTGATGAGAATGACTCTAAGCTACAAWCATATCCAATTTGATCTTATGTGCAACATTTAGTGAGGTATAGCTGTTTAGTGTTGGCTAATTTTATTTAACTATTGCAAGTTAGTATAACTCCAAATGTAAATCAGTTGTACTGTATTTGTGTATTTATTGATTACTTGTTGAAAGTTTCATTAAATTCTGTCCAGTGGCTTATGAAATATTTTGCTAACAGACAGATAGGGTTGAATGCAACAATTATTGCTAAAGTTTAAAAGGTGATATATGCAAAATTCACATTTTTAGTCGTTAAACGCATTTTATTGTGTACTTGGATTCTCTATGAGTGCAGAAAAGTTGAATTTAGTTTCTGAACAATTACAACAAAACATCTAAAAAAGGTCTGGACAGTTCTGTCATCTTCATTCTCCTTTGTCTCTGGCTCCAACATGTAAGGCTGGATGGATATGTCTTCCCTTGTTGACATATTTTAAATAAATTGTAAATGAAAAATTTCTGCGCAGCTATATAGTGGTAAACCCCTCTTTTAAGCTATGATAAACGGCTCTGGAAGCTGAAGGGGGGCAGGGTGTGAAGCACCTTGTTTGGATTTAAAGAAACAGCCTCAAAACGAGTTGATCTAAGACACACCTCAGAAAAATAGTGAAAGAGGGGCTTGTGGAGTTACAATAAGGAGGAATTCAGACCAAAMCATTGAAATTCCACTTTATAAAGACACCAGAATGGGTGGCACTTGGAGTATGCGTTGTGAATTACTCTCAGCTAGAACCACACACAGTTTTGGAAAAAATAATGTATGTAAAACTGACAGTCACAGTATTTTCTAAGCTGAGCTGGTTGTGACAACTGAACTGACTTCAAAATTTAGTCAGTTGAAGCGGTACATTCTTAATTCTTAATTCTTATTTTCCTAAAGTTTCGTTGAAATCCATCCAGTGGCAAATGTGAAATTTTGCTAACAGACAGATGCAGTTTACTCCAAAGAGTTAATGGCAAAATTTTGGACACAGGTCCTACACAATTGTTTGGCGCTCTTAATGTGTGTTGAGGAGCACTGTCAGCTACCACCACACCAAAATCTCAGTCAATGTCTGTCACACTGAAGGAGTTATTGCTGTTTTTACGGTYTGTTTTTAAAGGGGCAGTACCATGTAAAAACAACTTTTTTGAGTTTTATATCATGTTATAATGTTATACTCTCATAAAAAACGTGCCCAAAGCCTTGCTTTGACTCATTCATTCATGTTTGAGAAATCCTGCAGCGTTTTT